ATGACAAGGCAAAACAGCACTTACACATGACCCTTACACTGAGGCTAAGTAATTTTAACAATAATGAATACTGCTTAAATCACAAGTAATGTCAAGCTGATTTACACATTTCCCTCGCTACTAATTAAAATACAAAGCAAGATCAGCAATCACAAGTTTTCAGCAGACATATTTTGTAGACTCTATCATAGTTCCAGCCACACTTTCAAACTTTAAGGAAATTTCCATATTTCAAAATTAATTATACAACTGAGACATATCACTTAATTTTCAATTGTAATTTCAATTTGGTAAAGGGTAAAAAGTATTCCAAATATTTTTCCAAATGATAAATAATTAAAATATTAAAGCAATCATAGTACTTAGTTGTACCTGTGAAAAGATATTTCAAAGATGAAATAAGTAAAACTGAATTACACATGAATGTTAAAACAGAAATGGTATCAATTTCAGGTCTCAGTGAAATGAAATACCTCTCCAAAATAATTCAATTATTAGTAGACTTGAATTTTTAAAAACTTGACTCAAATACTAATATAATTTTCATTTCATCAACAAAATATTTGCAACAACTTTGTTTTCTCTTTCGCCTCTTGATCCACAAAGTCTTAACTTTGTACTATCTAGTCCTTTAAAGGAAAGTTTGCCAACCCTCGGTGCAGAGCGCTCTGCAGGAGTGTTCTTCCAGTTTCATCAAATCACAATACAGTTTAAAAAAAAATCACAATATAGTTAAGATTCCTATAAACAAGATTCCTTCTAAGAAAGCCATTTTCATACAATATCAACAGATAACACTTCTACATACAGTTCTTTCCTTTGTTATAATCCAGGCACTCTCATAAAGAAGTAAGTTTCAGGTAAATTTGCCATCACTTACGTATTTACCACCACAAAAAAAGTAGCAAATTTCATAGGAAAATAGCTTATTTGGGTCGGCATTTGAGCTGAGCAGGAAAGAACAAGAGCAAAACATTGTAATTCATGTATTTGTAGTCCAGTATAAAAATTAGTTTTTAAATGTTCTATCATTAAAAACTCTAGAAAGCTAAAAAAAAAAGTTCAGAGCATTTTTCAAACACACTCATTCACTATATAAGTGATTTCTAATGTTTCCAGATTTATAAAATTCTCAAAAATAAAAATAACCTTCCTTCTGATAACAATATATTATTTTCTTTTAATGGTGTGCCATTTTCCTCCTCATTCTTCATCCAATGGGTCCCCCAAACATGTGCATCCATTGGGAGAACACTCCGCTCACTGGCCGCAGTAATTGGCCCTCTGAGCATGTGAACCAACGAGGAAATACGTGTCAGCCTTAGAGATGGTGGGAGGAAAATGGCCCTTTGTTTTTGCTTAAGTTACTGACAGAGTAGAAGTGTGAAACTGCTGTGTGGCCCTTTTACCGTCACACGTGGGAAGTCTACCTGAGAATGGAAACAGCAGGGAAGGTAACAGCAAATTGAGAAATACAGAGAAAAACAGATTCCTGTTATAGCACCAAGTTGGAGGATGCCTGAAGCCAGTCCTGCCACTGAAGCTTGCTGTTAGGTGAGCGACAATACATCCCTACTGCTCAAGCGGGTTAAGGTAACTCACTGTCATTCAAGAGGCAAATCTAAGTGTAAAACCATTTAGATTGTAACTGCAGTCTTAATCTGCTCTTTCTAGTCAGGGTCTTTCAACAGTTACATGTCATCTCCTCGGCTTTCTCTTGCTTCTGTCTGATGCTTAATAGATAGACCATTCGTGAGTGGAGTGTGCACTGCTTTGCCCTCCTTATCTTACACACAGCACCCTTTACAAGGAGACACTCAGTTGATGTCAATTCTGATTCGCGGAGACCTCAAGTGTGTCGGAGGAGAGCTTCACGGTTGATTTTCTTCAAGTAGGTCCCCAAGATTTTCTTCAAGGTTCTGGAGCTTCCTCACACTTTTGATGTTTTGGTAATTAGCCAAGACTGCTAACCATTTGCTTCACTCAGAGCTTCCCCTTCAATTTGTATAGCACTATTAATGTCATTTTGCAAAACGCTTCAAAGAACCTAGCACAGTGGTAAACTATGAGATACAGAGAGAACTAGATTTTAAGCCCTTCACTTAAAACCTGATTAATAATGTTTAAACTCTGCATTGTAATAGGATACTATTTTAAAAAAAATTACTTTCATTGCATTTGGTTATCAGAATACATTAAACTCAAACTCGATGCCACTGACTGAATCGGAGCTGACTCAGAGTTAACCCTGCAGCAGGTTTTCAGACTGTAAATCTCATGGGAGAAGACGGTCCATCTTTCTGCCTTGGAGCAGCTGGTGGATTCGAACCACCTACCTTGAGTTGGAAGCACATCTCCCTCTCTCCTTACATAACTAGTCCAGTAAATGGTTCAGGGGGATGATGAGGAACATAGGGTGGGGAGAATGGGACAAAACTGATTAATGAAAACTTTTATCCTTCCTTGCTATTATGAGCACTTTTCAGCTAGGATCCTAGAAAAGAAAATAATAAAAGTATTCTTTCTTTAGATTTGTTTCTCACTAATGACAGAGTAAATTAAATAAATGTTTTCATTTCAGTCTTAAAACTAATGAGTGGCAGTAATTTTACTCATGATTAGAGGAAAAGGGGGAAAAGCAAGTTTAAAAAAACTACGTTTATTTTTTATTTCTTTTTCAGTTACATACTTTTAAACAGGGATGTGTTTCATTATCCAGACATTCAGGCAATGTTGACTTCATTAGTGTTGACAGAAAAGAAGCATATAAATGCAAAACATTGTTGGCTTAACCTGAACATACCTGCATTACCTATTATTGACCAGTTTGTGTTGCCAAAAGACTTATTTCTTGGCATTAAAATGGAGCACTTCAAAATATTGCTAAAAAGCAAATGTCTACACACACTGGTTTTTGCAGCAAATAAGGGTATTTATACTTTTAAAATATTTAAGTCCATAATTGGATTAATATACACACCTTCTTATGTATAAGGAGTTCAGATCATATAAACACTGTACAGTCCAAAAAACTACTGAGAATAAAACTAAATAGGCTTATGATAAGAAATACAGAGATTGCAGGTGTTTACAAATATCACAGACACACAAATTTGGTCAAATACTGTAAAGAAAAAAGAAGTGTTTCACATTATAATGGCCAAAACAACCATCTACCTGCTAAAAGGAAAAAAAACAAAACAAAAAAATAAACCTAACAGAAAATCTCCATGTGTAGTTTAAGACATAACAGTATACAAATAGGTAGAATGGAAACTGTTGACCAAATTATACAGCAAATGTGTTCTAGGTTTTTAAAATCAAGAATTTCAAAAGATCATTCATAGGATTTCTAACAACATTGATAAACAATGTCCAGATCTGCAATGCTCACACAGATGCCTTAATTTATATAAAAAAAATGCATTGAACTTTTGGCTAATAAAAAAAAATAAATTACAAAGTACATTAAATCCCAGTAAATTAAATAATGAAGTCAAAACTGTGGATTTATTTATTTTAATACATATTTCAAATGTTATCTTGAGACAGTAAAAAAATAAATAAGCATGCCTGGAGGCACACACTTAAAGACAAAGGGGCTGAATGGAAGGATTAAGTGACAATTTTATAAATGAAAGGTGAGTATGAGATTTGAACAATAAAATCATCTCTCTAGCCAGTTACTTTATTTTAATCCTTCTTGGAAATTCTGGCTATTAATATGTAACAGAAGTATACTGTGTCTTTATAGCTTAAAACAGAGTATACTTGCAAGGTGGAATGGGTTTCCGTTTTAATAGAACCATTACTTTGTTCGTATGCAGGCACTTCAAAAGACTATGGAGGCAAAGCACCTGACCTATCCTCTCCAGAAGAGTTCTCAATCATCACAATGTTAAGTAGTAAGAAAATTCTAGAGAACCAGCAAAGTGGAACACAAGAGAGTAATGAGCACGGAGAGCAAAAGAGAGACCCAATTTTTATTGCTGGGGGGGGTATTAAAATCAAAGAGCAAAATATTAATAAACAGAACACCATGGCATGGCACAGCCAAATTCTCTGCTTACAAGAGAATGAAAGCATTCAGCGGTAGGTTTCAGTGGGTCGCCTTGGGCGTCAACCGTAATACACCTCAGTGAGGTTCACATTGATTTTGTCTCCTTAGTGTAGTCTTTTAAACGTCTTCAAATGTATCTCATTTCTCTAGATACTCGTTTCCTGCTGTCTAACACATTTTATTATCTGGAAGCATAAAATTACATTACACAAATATTTCGCATTTTAAAATAAGTGCTTTTGCCTTGTCTGCAACCCTGTACTTCATGGATCGAGTGGTGTAACAAAAGCAGAACTCATGTTTGCTGTATGATCGGTGAGGCATTTTACCACTATCACCTGCTGAACCCAAAAAGGTTTTTCCTCAGAGCCTCTTGGCAGTGGCTGTACCATGATTTCACACAGAGAATGTTAATGCATCTCACGAATAACAGTACCATCAGTAATACTGAAATCAATGCAGATGTCACACAAATTATGAATTTTTCAAAGAAAAACTTCTTTTAAACATTTGGGCAATCCCATTTGCTTGAATGCATTATATGCTGGGGAGAAAAAGTCATGTTTAATTATGCTCTTACAGACTTACTAAAAACAAGATTTGATATAAAACTGGTTGACATTTAATATACTGCTTTCTAAAACAGAAGAAGAGTTTCTGGACAACATTGCATAGACCTGTATCCATCAATACCACCTCATTGGTCCGTTCTCTTCATCAATGGGGAAAGCACTCATGTTTGACAAAACCTTAAAGCTTCCACAAAAGTTAAATTACAAAAAAAAATATGAAAGACGACAATCACAAAATGAAGTATGAGGGTATGACACATTTAAGATTAAGTCTTTGAAAATAGTTGTGGTCACTAGAGAGATGATTTTAGTTACAAGACAGCAGATGGACACGTAAGTAACTCCCCACGATCTGTCTGTGTCCAGAATTATTTGTGACGCTGAATAGTTTTCCTTTTCCTTCGTTTGAAAAAACAGCAGCACCTGCAGATGGAGGAAAATATATCTTTGATTATAAAAGTACTAAAATAGAACAAAGGAAGGCTAAATCTATCACATTAATTTACATGGTAATTTAAAGCAAAAGGTCAGAGCAAGATAAACTGTGAACATGCCAATAAAGCACATGTGTTAGTGAAACTATAGCAGAGTTATTACTATTCCATTTCATCCATGTGCCTTTTAGGAAAAGCAAGAAGTGATTTGCCCCATACAAAAGATCAAAAAAAGTTTTGCCTGGAGACTAATTGAGGAGTCAGGGAGTCCTGCATCCTTATGGACAGACTACTTGCTATTTAAGATATCCAACACTTGAAGTGGCATGCTTTCATAGACTCTATTGTATGTATTTTCTCCTTTCCTCCCTGACTTTTACATATGGGGGGGGGGGTCAAAGGCATTGTTAAGAAGGGGCGGGGTAGGGGAGGGGAGCGGGGAGAGGGGTGCAACAATGAATGAATGGAATTCCAAAATCTCTGTAGATGTTCATTGAAATGAAAAATAACGAAATTTAAAAAAAAAAAAGAAAGCAATAATGATCCTACACTGAGAGTTTTTAAGAATTGGCTTGGTTTCCAAAAGTGAAAAGAGAAATTCACAGAATCACACCTGAACAGAAGAGGTACGGGGGAGTGAGAAGATCAAGACAGTCCTTTCTAATTCTTTTTTTAAAATTTCAGGAATGGTTTATTGTGACATATACATAGCATATACATAGCTACTCAAGAGATATTTAACAAGTGTCTCTAATGTATGAGTCACTGTGCTTGGTTGGTTATTTTTTTTTTTTTATTCCCCTCTAGCTTACTACATTGTTTTACTTACGGCAAAACAGCGTAAATAGGGTTAGATGATTCTGTTTTAAAATATATGCTGGAAATAAAGGCTAGATTTTTATTCCAAAGTAGAAAAATAAAAGTCCTGCCGTGATGCATGAGAGCATGTGTTTCTCTCCCAGGGAATCCCCTCGTCATGACAAGATGAGCCAGGTCATGACTTCTATGGATCAATGCTAACAAGGCTTACAGACGTTGGCAAATTTGGAACTAGAAGCACCATCCACTGCCCCTGCAGTAGGCTTCCAGAGCTGTAAGCTGCATGGCAGGCCACCCGGCTCACCCAGGAGGAGGCGCTGTGGATGCCCAGGGCTGGAGGGAGCAGTCCGGCCTTTGTATTGGAAGCACAACTCTGTATGAGCGGTGCAGTCAGCGCTCCAGACTCAATGACTTACACGTAATATATGAGTGTTTAAGTTTATTTTCTATCACTTCATAAATATTCAAGGAGAAATATGTGCAAGTCTCAATATTTCGGAATTTTGTTCTCCAGGTGATCACTAGAAAGAACTAATGCGTAGCCTAGCACAGAGAAGCCAAGAATTCTTCCTGGAGTTTGAAAAAGGGGAATTTATTTTTCATTCTCAGTCATTAATATTTTCTTATCTCTAGGAATCTCATTTCTAAAACATTTTCTAAAATAGAAAAGCAAAAACTTAAACAGAAAATATACAAGTCAAATTATCCTTTTAAGTGATTAAAATCAATGAAAAGAATCTTTCAACTGAAGACTTAATTAGAATCAGAAAATACTCATATGTGAAAAGGCAGAACATAACAAAATAATGTTTAGAAAAAGTAGGATAAATGCTGAGAACAGTAAATTAAAGATCACGGTACTATTTCAATTGAAAATTGTAATTTTTCCATATAAAATTCTGCTAATGTTCACAATCTCTAACAATTTACCACTAAGTACCTCAAACTGTCCTAACTACCCAAATTTCCTTTTTAAACATTTCTACTCAAAGACGTTAGAAACTGTCTAAAATAGAGAATTTAATATCACACATGTTCTTTTAAACAAGTTGAAGTCCAGGATCATCCATGCTTATAATAATTCACCTGTATAAATTATTTTTCTAATATTATTAGTCTGTTTTTGTTCTGAAACTTAATCCCTCCCATTTATTATGTTTCTTTTCCTTTATTTGTACCGGTATTAACTGACCACAGAAAAGTACACTAAGCATTTCTCTGAGACTAGTGGGTACACACTGCCACATCCTTCCACAGAGTGACTGGTGGATTTGTTACCAGGGACGTTTTGTTTAGCAGTCCAATACATACATATCTGAGAAGTGCCTTCACTTTTTTTACAAAAATAACTCCTATTAAACAAGAAATATTTGCCTGGTGGTTTAACAATAAGGAATTGTGCTGCCAATGCAAAGGCATTCAGATCAAATCTATCAGCTGTTCCATGGTAGAAAGGTGGGAAATCTCCTCTTGTGCGATTTACTACCTCTAAAAACTCTCTTAGAGTCAGCTAAGGGTGAGTTCTAACTCAATGGTACACAACAACAATGACAAAGTAAAACTCAAAGAATCTGCACTAGGCTGGCTGCCATGCAATTAAAACACTTACCACTAGAGGGCAGCATTGGTTTATATGACACAAATACAAGCACATACAAAGGGAACAACTGCGATGATCTCAGTATATGGTACTGTATACTCTCAGAAGTATACTTGAAGTATACTTAAAGTTAACAGTAAACTGGTATTTCAGAGTTTCTGTGAGGAGAAACTTGCTGGGATAATGGTAATTTTCTTCATTGATTCAAACGAAAATCACTGCTGGAGCAGCTGTTTTATTAAGAAATTCTCACCGAAATGATCTCCTGTCCTCAAAGGACTCAATATAAAGTAGGGCCGCCCTGCACATGCATGCTTTACTTTCCTCTTAGTATTTATCACTATTCTGAAATAAATGTTGTTTATTTGCCTCCAAACTAGAATATAAGCTTCACAGGGCTTTGCACACAGACAGCCCCCTGAACTGGCAGTGTTGGTATTCATGAAATATTTATGAAATGAATGAATGAATCATGAGAGTCATCATAAATCTCCAGTCCTCAAAAACTGAAGCACATTTTGTACATAAACGCAACCAATTCCTAGATTGTTTCTGGTATCAGATGGTACTGAGCTGACCACAACTCACAGCAACTCTACGAACAACAGACCTGAGCCTTGCTCTATCCTGCATCGTCCTCACCCATTTCCCTACGGTTTATAAACACCTTTCCTCCCCTTGTTGCTCGGTCTTTACATTTCCTTATATTTGAGCCCATTCTTACAGTCTTGTGCCAATTCACTTTGTGGAGGGTCTTCTGTTCTTTCTGATTAAGACCCTACAAATATTCTAAGGCATATTCTAAAACTAGTGGTTTAGACTCTAGGAAGTTTTGCATAGCCCGAAGGCTAAGTCTCTGGCAGTTCAAATAGATCAGCCTCTCTTGAGAAAGCGATGTGGGCAATATCTTCCCCTGAGATTTGTTGTTGCTGTTATGTGCTATCGAGTCACCTGCAACCCATAGTGACCCTATGCACAGCAGCTCTGAAGCTGGCCCTGACGTGAGCCAGTCTCACTGATTCTGACACACCAACTCCCACTGCCACAGTAACTCTATCAACTCATCTCATCCAGGTTCTTTCTCTACTGTGCTTTCCCTCCACCATTCTGAGCATGATATCATTCTCCAAGGATCGTTTACTCCTGGCCACATACCCAGAGCATGTGAGGTGGAGCTTCAAAATCCTAGCCTCCAAGGAGAAACATGGTTTCATCCTCTCCAAGACAGACCTATTTGGTTTTATGGTGGTCCATGGTATGTTCAAGACTTCTCCAGCAAAACTTGGGGGTATTGAGTCGTCTTCTGTCATCCTTAGACATTGTCCAGCTCTCTGATGCATAGCAAGTAATTCTGAAGACCATGGCCTGGATTAGGCACACCTTAGTCGCTAGACTGACACAGTTAGTTTTCAGCACTCTGGAGAGGTCCCCAACAGCACATTTTCCCAATGCAATTTGTCTTTTGATTTCCTGACTATGGTGTCAAGAGTTTTGATTGTAGATCCGAGCAAGCTGCAATTGTTAACAATCTCAATCTCTTCTCCATTTTTCATCTGCTCCTTTTCAGTAAAATGATTGTCTGTCAGATATTGTTCTAAAACTAAGCATCCAAAACATCTAAATTAAGGCAGACTAGGAAGAAAGATTGACCATCCACTTCCAAAACACACCAGACCTCCGAAAACCCTATATACAGTAGGGCACACTAAGAGTAGACTAAAAGTAAGGCAAGTGTCTTTCATCTGTCCCCTGAGATTTCAGCTCTGGAAATTCACTGGAAGGTCAGCTCTGAGACAAGTCCAGCTCAATGGCAATGAGTAAGTAAATAATAGTTACTCCACTGTTGTTGTGCACCGTTAAGTTGGAACCAACTCATAGCTGACCTTCTGGTTAGTTTTCAGAGGCAAGTTAATCACATGGGAGGAGACTGTCCATCTTTTTGCTGGTGGATAGTAGCTGGTGGATTTGAACCCTGTGCTTCGGGCTGCTATGCACCTTCTTACCACTGGGCCACCAGAGCTTCCTAAAAACCGCACAGAGCCTCTTAAAATGAAGGGTACCTGAGTGAGGCTTTTATGGGGGGGGGGGGAAAGAAAACAAAACAGTTTATACTAGATCCTTAAAGGATCCATGAAAGCACCATTGTTCTCTGGATGCAGCCCTCCTGTTTTTCCATTTCTAAAGATCTCTTGGGCCTGAATGCCATATGCTGAGCAAGCACTACAGACGTTCAATGGGCCCCATGTCTTCAATTTAGAGGACTGCAAGCACACAAAAAAAGATGTGCAATTTCAGCACTTGGTACAGGTGGAAAGGGTGGGAAACTGATTCTAGTAGCAATGACTCCAGGAATTAGCACATTTTGAAGTCATCACAGATGGCGGGTGGGGACAAGTTAATTTTATCAATGAATGAAATTATCCTGTCTTGGAAAATGACCCATTTCCCTGTAATTTTTAAACACCTTTTCTCCCCTTGTTGCTCAATTACTTCCATTTCCCTACAGAGTAGTATATACTCCAGCTGAGATCTCTTCAGATCTAAACTTTGAGAGCGCCTCTGGCAGCACT